AAAAAAAAATTACAGTACAATATTTAAATGAAAAGTCCATTAGAGGAGGTCAATGTCAGATTCAAGCAGGCAGAATATTATTCAGTCATAAAAAGGAATGAAGTACTGGGCTCTCGGTTACATGTTTGTGTTGCCCTTTTCCACCCCCAAATTCCTATGTTGAAGACCTCTCATCCCTGGTGGATATTTGGAGGTGTGGCCTTTGGGACATAATCAGGGTTAGATAATCTTCTGATAGTGGAGCCACCATGATAGAATTGTTATTTTTATGAGAAGAGGATGAGATCAGGACCCTCTCTATCATTACAGTAAGAAAAAAGGAAACTTGACCTGAGAGTCATCATTTATATAAAAATTAACTCAAAATGGTTAAAACAAAATAGTGACATCATCACATGCTGTGAAGATGCAGAAATTGATCTCTTATGCATTGTTGGTGAGGATATAAAACAGTACATTTTACTCTGCTACAAAGGATTCCACATTTATATGTTGAAGCCCTTCCTCCCATTGGGATGGTATGTGGAGGTATGGCATTTGTGTATCCATCAATATGCTAGAGAAGATATTTATCCTACAAAGTAAATAGCTATTATTATTGAAGGTAAGAATAGTTATTGCATTATAAAACAGAAGGAAGATGATTCAGTAAATAAGCTGCAATGAAAAGATTGATACTGTTTTGTTATAAGTCCATCTCATGGTCTTTACCTTTTAATTGTTTAAAACTCACAAGAACAAAAACAAAAATCGTGGAACTTTCCCCAATGATTTCATCAAATGTAACCGTAGCACATTATCAAAGCAGGTAGTTGACATTGGTACAATGTTATCAACTAAACTAAAGACTATTTGGAGTTCACCAGTTTTTGCACGAGTTAGTATTTTTTAGTGTTAGTGTTTTTTAGTATATAGTTTTATGAAATGGTGCCAAATGTATCTATGAGAATTATCATTGTATAGATGGCATTTGAAATAATGATGTTAAATGAGATCACCCAGAGAGAGTAAGAGGAAAGAGAAGGGCTAAGGTCTGAACCTTGGTAACTATCCTGATCTTGTGGGTTCAGGAAAGAGCAACGAGTTTTTGAAAAACAAGAAGAAATGGCCAGAAAAGTAGGAGAAGTGAAGAGGAAAATACGTCTTGCTAATATGTCATGTTCAATTTAGCAATTAAAATATCTATGACCTCAGAAAGCTTTTATTTAACTGGTGTTAGTATGAATCAACTCAAGAAATATTTATCAACTATCTTACTCTTACCTTACTCATGCCTTCAATTGTATAATGGAAATATATTTTACACAGTTCCATGTAATTTAGGGAATAAAAAGGGACTGGTCAAGAGAGGGACAACCTGGGTAAGAGGAAACAGCCCGTGTAAAGATTTATGTGCAATGACCAGGAAGAGCCTCCCTGGAGGCATCCAGGATGTAAAAGCAGCAGTGCAAGCAAGGGGAGGTGTGGCTGGCTACAGGTGGAAAGGTGAACAAAGAGCAGATTTTGCCAGGGTTTGCAGGCTTTAGTAAGGATGGATTTATTTTCTGTGTAATAGAAAGCCACGAATTACACACTGAATGGTTTCCAAGGGTAATTCTGATTGTACTCTGAAAAATGTATTAGACAGCAGATGATGATGAGAGATGAGAGATGTTTAAACTGGGGTGCAGCAGCATAAATGGAAATACATCAATTCATGCAGTTGGGATTTTCCTCTGCTTTCTGGGTACACTGATGACCCCAGAGCAGATTTAGGCATATCCTGCCCTCGAGTTAATCCCTATAGAAATAAAAACCGTTTCTGGTTCCAAAGGAAGGGTTATGGGATCCTCAGCCCTGAATTTCTGACTTTTCTACAACCAAATAAAGTCCCCAAACTGACCACTATGCATGTGCACTGGTTTGTGCTGGCAGCTCACATCTACACTCTGATCCCCATGTTGGGGACCCTGCATCCATGCACCTCAGCCTAACTCCTCTTTCCACCCTCATTCATGGCCCCGAGTTCTGTGTGTCCCTGTAACAAGTGACTACTCTTTGAGAACCGTAACAATGTCAGGGTGTTAACGCTTATATTAGTACTTAAAGGATTGTCTTGACCAGTGGATTTTTAATGACTATTTCAACATGCATATGATCTACGTAAATACACAAACCAGTCTCAGGGGAAGACATAAATGCCCATTTTTACAGAAAGGAAATTGAGGTTAATATTGGTTTTGGCCAAAATGACATCAGCAGTAAATTGTACAGTCAGGATTTAGAGTCCTATCTCTGACCACACATCCCATTAAAGCAATTTTGTCTAATTAGTAAGGAATAAACTATGGAAGTCACAGGGCCCATAAAAAAATTTTTAATAGGGGATATGCTTGATATTTCCTCATCCTTAGGGTATCACAAGTTGTGCTAGCTATGTTTCCAAAATTTATTTCTGTTAATCTATCCCTGATAATGACATATAACACCCCTTTGATTTTTACTTTAATCTCTCTGAAATCCAGAAGGATAAATACAAAAATTAAAAGTAGAGAACAAATGTTTTATACTTAAATAAGAAGTCAAAAGATAAGTGTAGTTACGGAGCTTTAAAATTCTGAACATAAGATTCAGTGTCCTTATGATACAAATGAAATTGACGTCCGCTTATACTATTACAGTTGTAGTAGGAATAACAGCAACTACTTGTTCTACATGTACAAAAAAAAAATGGATTGCAAACTAATCAATTCTAGGCACTAAATAAGATAATTTCCTAGAATATATCTTAATCATAATTCACAATTACTTTAAGCATGTGTATAAATAAATAATGATTAGACACAGACTCTAAATTTTACACTTACTCTTTCATGATACTTTTGATTCTTTTCCCTAAGTCTCCTCATTTGAACCATGAAGCGTTCTACTGAATTTTCCTTTATCTGACGGCTGATGACAAAGATAAGACATGTTATAATTATAAATCTTAGGAACAATAAGTGAGACCACATTTTCAAATTTAAATTATTTGAACTGAAATAAAGTAATAAACATATTACAAAAACTCATTTAGTGATGGTAGGAAACTTTTTTGTTTCTGTATATATTTTACTCTTCTAATTTTATAACTAAAGTATATATTGGAAAGATAACTTCAAGTGTTAAAAAGTCATTTCCCATTTGTATTTCATAGCCATGAGTTTTTTTTTTTACTTCATTATCTATAAATAATTTAGCTAAAGGAATGTAGGAAAGGTCAAACAGAAAGCATGCTTTCTAGAACTCTGAAAACATTTAAACAAAAGCACTCCATAAGAGCCAGTATATCATCTTGATATAATACTAAGATAAACTAGACATACCTATTGGTTCAAGTTCTTTAGCATACCACCTCTTCTATAAATAATAAAAGTTTCTTTTCTGACACAAATATATTTTTCTTTTTTTAGAGATTTATTTATTTATGAATATAGAACTGGGTGCAGGCCAGGGGTGGAAAGGCAGTGAGAGGATTCACCAGAGACAGAGTAGGGAGCAGACCAGGCAGAACTACGAAGTACACTGCTGAGAGGAGCAGTGGATGAGTCAGGAGAGGTCTGCCGCACAATGTAGATCACCTCTCGGACTGGGGATTGAACTTGCTCTGAGCAGCAGCTGTGGCTTGATTGCAGTGCTGTGCTTTAACCCGTTGTGGCACCAGGGAGGACCCACAAATATATTTTTCTCAATATCATTGCTCTCACAAATCATACTGATACCTGGCAGTAAGGCCTAGAACACTGCCCAGATAGTTGACCTGTCACAGTTGAGTTCTTCACCTGTGCACACAATTGCAAGACTACTTAGTCTTAGGGAACAACAATAATGGAATTTGTTTAATAAACAAGGGAAAACAAAGAGTCATCGAGGCCACAGTGGTCACTAAACAAAACCCCAAAGTCCTAAACAAAAGCATCTAAAAGGGAGTCTTCCCACTACTGAGGATCTGGAACACATGGCAGCCAGGCAATAGGCCAGGATCCAGTTCACAAAGATAGTAGAAGACACAACAGGAGCTGCCAAGATGAGCCGGCACAACACCAGACAAGTGACGCTGGAAGCAGCAGCTGCAGCAGCCGAATGACCCAACAAATGGCCACGCTCACACAGCTCAGTGAGGTACCCAGTTCAGGTCCTTCCCTTCCAGACTATAGCAGCAGCAAAGCTGGGGACAGTTCAGTCACTAGACGACCTACAAGGCCTCTGAACTTTTCTCCTCTGAGGCTGGCTCAGGAAGTCTCTTTGGCTTTTGGAGGCCTGCAACAGCATTCTGGAAGACCAGCATGGTAGGGGTGGGAAAGGCTGACCCAGGAATCAGGGAATTCCTGAAAATGCTGAATCTTGGGGGCTACTTCTTCAGTCCCTTGTATTTCCTCTCCAAGTCTCTACCCACCACTGTTGCTCTATACAGATTTCACCTGGAGCTATTCAGCCTTACTGCACTCCCCTCCATGGGGTACAAGGTTACATTTATTCTCACAAATTTCACTGACAAATGAGAAAGAAACAAATTCAAATTGGAAAAATAATTCATACCTTCATCTATTTTTTTATACGTAAGCATGTCCATAGCTGTTTCTATACCTATATCAATACTCATTAGAAAAACAAATATAAGAAGAACCATCATTGTTCAGAGATGAACACTTTATGGATTTATTATTGACAACCTCAGGTCTTCACAAAGTCATAGAAGTTAACAATCTTATTTTCTTGACAAAAAATCAATTTTTCAACTGTTGACTACCTACTATGTGATCTTAGCTTTGCTATGAGGTAAGATAGCACAAGAAATACAAGGTGTTACTAGGAGATGTTTGGACAATCCTTACTGGATAAGGAGGGGGTGTATTGGATATCTGTCTTGTGACAAAAACTCTCTCATCTAGAACACATGGAGAGTGTAGTGTCAATAGTAGGACACAATGTAGCTGAATTATCACTGTTCCAGTTGATTATTTATTTGGTTTTAACAAAGGAAAGAGAACAAAAGCACGGAATGTTCAATTTATGTCTTATGCTAGATCATGACATTTTTTAAAAAGATTTATTAATTTATGCATACAGAGGTGTGCAGGCCTGGTCATGACAACACAAAAATATTTGCCTCTTTGGAAACTTCTGTTAAATAGGAAGAAGACTGACCTCTAGTTGACCCAGAAAACACAGAAACATCTGTAATTGGATGGCATCATACGGGAGCAAATTAGAAATCAGGCTATGGTCACTTTTTGTTCATCTCTATTAAGGTGATATGAGGGATGTTTTCAGTTAGGCTAAGAAATAAATATAGATAGTATCCGCTTATTACGGAATGTTCTCTTACATAGACAATAAAAGAGCTTTTAAAAAGTCCCTTCCCATGAATGTCTCTTTTATAGAGTTTTGATAATTCCATTTGCTGTCTTCTAAAAAGAACATGTGAATCGTTCAAAAGAGGAGATGGATTTTCTCTGAATGTTAAAGACAATTCTCTTAAACAACAACTGTTTTGGTAAGATGTGTTTTGAGTTAATGATAGCTTCTTTTGTTTTAGTTTATTGATAGTCTCATGGGGGTGCACTTACACATGACACTGCTTTTCTGTAGCTGCTTTTAGGATTCCCTCTTTATCTTCAACTTTTGCCACTTTAATTATAATGTATCTTAGTTTGTGTCTGTTTGGATTTCTTTTGTTTGGAATTTTTTGGCATTTCTGCATCTGGATATCTGTCTTCTCCCCCAGTTTGGAGACATTCTTGGTTATTATTTCTTCAAATAGGGTTCCTACCCTTTCTTTCTGAAACCTCCATGTTGCATATGTTCCTCTTGGTGCTATCCTATCACTCTCATGTCATCTTCATTTTTTAAAAATTCATTTTCTCTTAACTTACATTTTTGGATAACTTCTACTCTTCTAACTTACTGATTCAATCCTCTGCTTCATTGAGTTTATTGTTGAGACTCTTTGTTGGTTTTTGTTTTTTAGTTCAATTTTATATTCTTGGTCTATTGTTTCTGTTTGGAACTCTCATATTTTCTTGCCCTTATAGTTCTCATTTTGTTCATACATTGTTCTAACTTCAGTTAGCACCACTAGGACTATTGTTGTGAATTCTTCTGGTAGTTTATTTACTTCTGTTGCATTATGTGTTTTTTTTTTTTTTAGGATTTTTGTTTTGCCATTGATTGGGGTGAATTCCTCTGCCTCCTCATTCTGTTTAGAGCCCTGGTTATTTCTATGAATTAAGCTAGACTGCCTTTCTTCCCAACTCTGCTTTAATAGTCTTGTGTATGAATTGTAGGTTACTCTTTGGTCTTGGTTGTTGTGTTTTTTATTGTGTATTAGTTGAAGGCTCATCACCAATCAGTATGATTATGGCTCAAGATCCAGCACAGGGTACATCTGGGTACCCTGTAGGGTAGAGTTCATGGGACATGAATTGAGGGGGTCACTGCTATGGGTACAAACCTCCCTGGATGCTATAGCTGCTTGAAGTGAAGGAAGAATCTAGCATCAAGGTCAGCCCAAAGAAGATTCCATTGGCAGTGCTTTCCCAGAAGCCTCAGACTTCAATTGACCTCTCAACAGCAGCCAACCCTGTATCAACAGATCTGTTTTTGCCCTGAAGTTCAGACAACAGTAGCAGGTGTGAGCTGCAAGTGCATATGTATTCTTACTGTTCTACTCTATGTTGTATATTAAGAAGTAAACCAGAAAACTATTGTACATATAGGGAAAGTGACCAGTAATGCATTGGAGGAAGGGAGGGAGCCAAAAACATATTAATTTATGCTGTTACATAGCTACTACTTAGACAAAGTTATAGTCGATGTTTAAAAAACTTTGCAAAGTACACACACAAGGGCACTACCTATCCTGCTCCCTCAGTAGCTGTTTTTTTTCTGTTGTTTGTTTGTTGGTTGGTTGGTTGTTTTTTGTTTTGGAAGTAACATTGACTTTACAATACTATATATGTGTGTGTGTGTATGTATATGTGTGTGTGTGTATGTATATGTGTGTGTGTGTGTGTATATATATATACACACATACACATATATATATGTATATACATATGTGTGTGTATATATATTTAGGATCACACCTCAGCTTTTGAGTGGATTATTTTCCCAATGGGAATTATATAGCTCTCCATAGATCACATTTACATATGAGAACATCTGCATTTCATAATCTCAACTTACTGATAGTCTAAAAGTGCTTCGCTGATAGGCATTTTGACTTCTTTTGGTGGCCCATTTTGAACATCCTTTTTATTTCCTTTTGTTGAACTTTCCATTGTGTTGCTTAACTAATAAGAAAAACCTGTGTAGAAAAGAAACATAGGAAAGTAAATAAATACAATTTTTTTTTGTACTTGTGTTTACTCAAGACAAGTAATTTCTGGAACTTAATTTAGAATTGATTTTTCCATCCAGTCTGCATCTATGATTCCAGAGCTACCATCTACTAAGGTTCTATGACATTATGGCTCAGTGAAATTCTTAAATCTAGGGTGTCATGTGTAGTACAGTTATTGCAACCTTCTGCCAAACTTCCTGAAAGACTAACTCCCTTATTTTATCCACCTATATCTGTTGCCTCTACCAGCTCCTGTACAGAAGAACAAGAACTGGGCTTTCTCATCATTTTATTTCTTCACTGTTTGCAGAGTAGAGCTCATGTAACAGCTACTCAATAAATGACTTACCTTTTTAATGAAAATAAAACAAAACCACAACTTTCTGTGAGCACCAAGAAACTAAAATCCAAGAGTTAAGTTTGATCAGAGTTGTAATAGAGCAAAAAGAGAACATATTAAAATATTTTTAAAAGGTGAAGAGGTCTACATAGGCAAATGCTCATGATAATTACATATTATTAACAGTAACTATTCACCAGATACTAATTTTGCAACTAATTATAAAAATTACCATAAACAATATTTTAAAGGGGTTTCTGGCCCACTGTTCACAGAGATTTATAATAAGGCAGACTTCAAGAATTTGGTATGGGAACTGCATGTCAGATTATAGCCTCCCTTAGCAGATTTTAATCTTTCAAGCTCCATTAAACTTAAAAAAAAAAAAGTGCCATAACCTTCAATGTTTTAGTAATGGGGTGTTATATAAAGAACATAACCTTTGTAATTAATTGTTTAACATGACTGAAACTCCATGAAAATGAAGATGATGTAATTCTTGTGCACTTAGAAAAACAGACACACAATAAATCCTTGTGCAGTGAATAAATGCATGGATGGGTGAAATAATTGTGTGGGCGATGTTTAATCCTAGATCCACCACTTATTATCTATGTGAACTTGAGTAGGCTGTTTAATCTTTTTGAATTTCAGTTTTGTCATATCACTCTAAGGTTGCTTCTAAGAGCTAGTGTAAGTTTTACATAAACTATATTTAACACACCTAGCACAATAAATGATATGTAGACAGAATTTAGTAAGTACTACGTCTGCTTAGTAATAACTAAAGACCATGCAGCTTTAGATTCAAGGTAACCATGAAGCAGAGGCTATCTGCTTGTTGCCAAGTCTGATGATACAGGGAAAGAAATGATGTGGTTTGCTATTTTAGCTTTCATTATTGATTTGGGTTCCTGAAGTAGTAATCTAGAGTATTCTGAATCAGGGTGGAAAAATTCTGAAATGTCTATCCCATAAACACGGTGCTTACACATTCAGACTTCTACTGAGGTCTTTGTGGTAAAGTGTGCTCTTCTCATTCTAATAGATCCAAGTAAATGTGAACACAAATATGCTATTATAAAATGCTTTCCAACTGACAAGCATACAGGTAAGGATTTAATACACTAAGGCAGCATAATATCTTAAGGAAAATCTTCTCAGATATGAAAATAATTCCATAAGCTACATACTAAAACATGCCATTATATTTTCATGTTTCAGAAATTTATCAGCTAAGGAAATTGCTTTCCTTTGTTTTCAGTGCAAAGTTAAATTTTTATATGATTTTCTCTTTCAGAATTAGAATTCTTAAGCTTGGTTTTGCTCAAAAAGACAGCATGCTGACAAGTGTTTCATTTTACAATAACACTTTTACAATGATTTTTATTGCAAAATATTTTATTTGAAAGTTAAATGTCAACATTCACCTCTAATTTTCTGAGTCATATGGAAGAGATCAAGTGCCATGGTTCCCACCTGTGGTACCCATCTGGTGCTGCAGGAAAAATGACCTCATCATACTTAATTACCTGTTACCTGGCTGTTGTGCTTTCAACTCTCTCACTGATGTATAATTAGTTACTTCACTGTAGCTCAGGGCAAAGGATTTTAATAAAATATGAGTGAATATGTGGATCCATTAAGCACACATGATTTATGCATAAACTATGTTTAGATTTATTGTTTCACACACTTTCCAGAAAATTAGTAAGCCAACTGGATTGCCTGTTTAACAGTTGCATTTTTGTAATGGGCTCATGATTGTATGTCAGAATATAAGGATTTATAGTTCCCAACCACCTAGAGAATCTCTATCTCAGCAAAGGGAGACTCCTAGAACAATGTTCATGAAGTCGATGCAATAATTTTCCAGAAGGTTTCACTTAGACTAGCAATTCCTGGCAAATGGCCACATAAGCTGTTGGTCAGTAGCTGCAAATGTCTACTTGGGTCCCGCTCTGGTCGGGCACTCTATCTGACACCTAAGTGATAATATACAGAAAGACCAGTAGGAAGAAAGAAGCATGGTCTCAGAGAAGTTTCTAAAAATGAGAAGATACCTTTAGCAACGCTGTGCCAGTAATGCAAAAAAGAAAAAGAAAAGCGCTGTGGAGATGGTGACTCACAGCATGATCTCCCTTTGTGCCCAGGTGTTTCTTTCTTCTCCCAAATCTGTTTGGCATTGTTTTATACTAGAGAGTAAGGGAAGGTGAGGACGCTGTGTTTGAATGACTCAGATCTCCAATTTTTCCAGTGTCTACTCCATAATTACATTTTGCCAGAAAATTTTTTAAAAACAAAATTCCCCAAATTCTTCTCAGTGAAAGTCTCTTTAGTAAAAATGGACATATAATAGCCACCTTCTAAAGTGATGCCTTACTCTATTACAAAATTACTCTCCAAAGAATACATCCTTTCCTGTGCAGTGTTGGCATAATGTTTCAATGTTTAGAAAGTTCCCAATGACTTTGTCCTTGACTTTGTGCACATAAGAATATCCAGAGTCTCCAACTGACTACTTTCAGTTTTGTGGTGGCTGGGAAGAATGGCAATTCTGCCCTAATTGTTTGCTGCACATTGGAAGGGGATCCTGTCATTTGTTAGGGAATGTTTTATACCAATGCAAATTAAAATGGAAGACACTTAATAGCATTAGTCATGACAATATTTCTCAGTAACATTTCACACAGCATGAATGAGTTAAAAGCTCTCTATAGGAATGTTAGATGTCTAACATCATAATAATGAAGCAGTACTTCCAAGAAATCTGGATTAAAGAACAATCTAATTTAAATGGCACTTATCTCACTATAGTGTTCTGTGGGTTCCTATAAGCTGCCCACTCATGGGCAGCTGTGACCTATTTGTTATCCACAAATCACAGCAGGACATTCCTTGACTACCTAGGAGTATAGCCCATATCGGGAGGCAGGTCCGGGATGCATAGGCCACTGTTGAACTGATTACATGACGCTCTCCGTGGTGGTCTTGTGATAACTCTTTGGGTGATAACATCATACACAAAGGGACATCACGATGTCCCTTTCCTTTCCCCTTGTAAAGCTTTATCCCCTGATCCTATCCTACGCTTCGGACATTGTGCCTCATACCTTTGTCACATGGCCAGCTTTTCTTATCTTGTATGATTTCAACAACTGGCACAAGAACTTCTGCTCCAGCAGCAGTCTGGCCTTGCAAAACTGCTCCACTACTGCTGTGTCCCTCATCACATTCCCGCTGCCAAGTGGCAAAAATTCCTGTCACAACAGAGTTCATTGCACCAAACATTTGAAACACATCCTTGGCATTCCATTTTTTTTCTTTCTTTTTTTCATATAATTCAACTGATTTTATTTATTTTTCTTTCTCTCTCTTTTTAAAAATAATATAACAGTTTATTTTTACATCATTTTGTACATTTTTTTTCTTCATCTCAATTGTAATCCCTGTGGATTTCCCATCACCGAGCTTCGCACCCATTTTCAATAAAAAATAAGTCCTTTAATGCTGAATAGCAACTAATTAGTTCAATAAGCCCTACTCTTGGAGAATTCAAAACTGGATGCGGCACTTAGGCTAGTAGCTTCTTGGGCACAAACTAATATTCAATGTCTGATTTGATAATGTGTGCTTTCTTTTACCAATCACCTTATTTAACTGCTTAGAATGTTGTCTCTACCCTGAATTTGGGGGAAAAAAAAAGCCTTGATTTTTAAAAATAATTTTCAAACTCAAATTCTCACTTATGCTTGCACACATTTGGAAGACAAAGTTTAAATTTAAAAGAAAAGAAAAGCATTTAAGCAGCAAGATTTGTGTCTAGTATCCAGGTGAGTTTTATAATTTGGGACGTTTCCAAACTTCTCTAACCCTTCCATCTTTCCCTTCCATCTTTCCTACTTCCTGTTGGGGTGCATTAATGAGAATCAAATGTTTTGGGAAAACCGCCAAGCCAAAAAAGTCCCACTTAAATGGAAGGCATTTTTAGTTTGCTGATACTATACCACGAAGGGTACAAACCTGAATCAAATTCAGATTCTGTTCTCCAGGAGCTGAAGCTCTCTATAAGGGTAAGTAAGTAACGGATCCAAGGTTTTACTGCAAGACAGAAAAAGGTTGGGTTAATTGTCTGATCAAAATCAAAAGAAGTCCTTTATTCTCTATCTCCTGGGTAAAGAGAGCCCTATGAAAACCCCAGCAGCGTCTCCAACCCGCCTAGCACAGCGTCCGCCCTGGGAGAACAGGATTCCTGGCCCAGCGGTGAGGGGTCAGTGGAGTGCAGCGGAGATACTCAAAAGTCTTAGGTAAGCCAAGGAGTGAGGGGTTAAGTACGCAGATCAACCAGTCTCCCGACCTCCTCTGGAAGACTCCTCTGGGGAACGGGCAGGCAGCTCGCACTTAAGGCCAGCCGGCCCAGCCGGCCCACCCGGCCCACCCACTCCACTGCAGCGTCCTGTTTCTAAGGCGACCAGCGCGGTAGGGCCGCGAGCTGCGGGATTGGCGCACCACCTGGTGGCCGTATGGGGCAGAGTCCGGGTCAAGGATCCCGGGGCTCTGCGCTTTCAGCCGCCACCCTGCCGTTCCGCCTTCTTCCC